CGGCCCACTTTGTCCTTTCAACACCGGCCATCCTTTTCCCTTCGGCACCGGCCCACTTTGACCCTTCGGCACCGGCCCAGGGGGCATTGCCCAAATGCCCATAGGCCAGTCCGCCCCTGGAACCTAAACAAATGGGTAACAGGGAAAGATCAGGGAAACGTAGCTTTTTTTTTTAGAGCATCCGAGCAAAGGAATGAATGGAAAGCCACGATCGCCGATGTCTGTCGCAGATCTGGCACTGGATGATGATGATGACAAGAATAACTGTTTTGCGCGTTGTTGTTTTTTTTAATGTTCACAAACAATCCCGGCTGAGTAAGCTGTTTAACTTTTCAAAGACAAGCACATCGACACAACAACGATAATCTTGGGAAAAGAGACAGAAACAAGACACAACACGACAGAAGAAATAATATTTCGTTCTTATACTTACTAGCTATTGAAGTGTTTGCATGTGTGTTTGTTTGTTTGTTAGTGTGTGTGTGTGAGAGAGAGAGAGAGAGAGGGAGAGAGAGGGAGAGAGAGAGAGAGAGAGAGAGAGAGAGAGAGAGAGAGAGAGAGAGAGAGAGAGAGAGAGAGAGAGAGAGTCCGTGAGTATGTGCGCGCTCAAATGCTCCGGCAAACATCTCCCCTCATCCATCTCCGTTCTCTCAGGCTCCCAATTTGTCGATCAGCATAAGGTCTGTCCTAGACGCTCAATGTATAAGAGCGTTTTGGGCCTGTCCATTCCAATTCTAGAAAGTCACCCTTTCATCTTTTCTTTAGATTATTATCTGACTCGCCTCTTTCCCTGTGTACTGTGCCCTGCACGATTTCATACGACCAGTTTGAACCCCTCCCCCCAAAAAAAACAAACACAAAAAAACAAACAACAACCCATAAAACATTTTCATACACATGTAGTAGATTTAACCCCACAAAATTCTAAAGCATTTACAGGCTGTTTCACTGTGCCCTGTAGTTTAATTCACATAGGGGTCACAAATCAGTTTCTAAGAGCCGCGTTTGTAAACTAAATAACAGAATTGTGCGTTTGATGGACTGAACCATGATCATTTACGATGAGATGCTGTCGATTCAGAAGATACACAGTGTCTTGAATAGCGCCCCTCGAGAGCATCGATCCCTTCGCTTCAACAGAGTTGCTCAGGGTGAAGAAATCACCGGACAAACCACGCAAAATTATAAAAAACACAAACATAACAATGTAATATTTTATACTTTCCATGTTTCTCTCAAGGCGCCTTCCATCCTCGGCGGAAGTAACCCTCCAACATTGACCTCCACTCTCTTTTTCTACCGGCTGTTTTCAGTTTCAGCATCCTGGTTGTACTTGTCCGCTCTCGGTCATCTTGCCACCTTCTTTTTGGACTTCCTTTTATAATCGTTTTCCTGTTCCTGGTCTCCAACTGCCCATTTATTTTTGACCGTTATCCTCCATTCTACCGACAGGTACCAGCGTATTTGAAATAGGTCCTATCATCGGGGTATGGATTTAAAGATACCGGGTGTCAACCCCCCCCCCCCCTCCGTTATAATAACTTATAAGGTACATGTAATATCTTGGTCAGTTTTGGACCAATTTCAACAAAATTTAGGACAAATAATAAAATGAGGTAAAGGGGATGCCAAATTTATCAGTATAATTACATCATGTATCAAGGTTTTTAAATTAGAATTTTCCAGTAAAAAATAGAGTGAAATGCAAAGCTTTGCAACTTCTAATAACATCAACCATATTATGTATAATTTGTGCATCAAAGAACACATTTATCCATAATTTAAAATTCCAAATAAATTCAAGAAAGTAGAAGGAAATTTAAAATTTAAATGCTCTAGGTGTTGACTATTTCTCTCCGCGCAAGCGCGAATACGCAGCTGGACATTTCGAATAACCGTATGGCATGTTTTGTGGTCGATTCTTTGGACGTCCTGTTCAGCATTGATTTCCAACTTTTCGATTGTTTGTTGGGCATTTTTTGTAGACTGTCAGAAAAAAAATAATGTAATGATAAACCATACAAAGTAAATAATCATGGGGGTATACGTCCGGGGAATGACGTGACTATAAATTTAATTTGCAAGCTTTCAGCTAAGCGTCGTTCCGTAGGCTAAACCTTTCTTGCAGACATACGATGGCCACTCTTGATGGGCAGGGTGAGGCCCCATGCCCTAGGAACAAGGTCCCCTCAACAACATACATTACCCCTTCTCCTTTCTAAACTCCTCTAAATCTTTCTCAGCACAGTGGAGTAGATATCCATCTGATGACAGTTGTGGTTTTACCATCCTCGTCCGGAAAACAGATTACCCGATCACGCTCCTGCACCTGGACGTTTTTAATTTTAATAAGTAGTTTTACACAATTTTGTCTGAATTTGTTAAAACTTGATATTTCCAAACATGTTGAGAGATTTGATTTCTCCTAGGTTCAATTTTATTTATTCAAAGTTCTGTTAAAATTGTGGAGCAAAGATGACCGAGTTATTATTAGGCTACCATTAAAAAGCGAGTCATCTTTTGTAAAAAGACACATTGTACGGCCTACCTGATACTCCTGTTTTGTGTCACAACTCGCACACGTGACCTCCAAATTTTTTTTGCCCTCATCCGAGAAGGCTAGGTGTTTGAGCTTACATACCCTAAGGGCGAAAACATGGAGAAAGCCGATTTCGGAGACTGACTCGGTATAACCACCGGTATAAATATTCCCTTATGATTTCCAACCTAGCTGCCCCACATAGAGCTGGCAGACTGCAGGCGGCTTTAAGCACCGATCGGCGTTGTCGGCTTTATCGGAATCCAAACTACATTCTTATTACGCCAAAAAATTGGGAAGGGCGCCTCGCTGTCAAATCACGACCCAAGTGCTTCCTTGTCGTATCTCCATAAAAAAAAAGACTTCTTCTTCAGCTGACTCTTTTTAATGAACTGTTTTCACTGTTATTAAAAATGGAGAGGCGAAAAGAAAGCACTGAGGTCGCCAACTCTCAATGCCGTCTCGCCGTCGTTTACTTGGGTTCGGCAGTTTGCGTGACGTCCCCCGACTGGACAGGGGACAATGTTAAATGGTCATTTCAGAGGTGGTGCTTCACGTACACAAAAACTACATACATTTTTAAAAATCAGCGTCGTTAAATCAAGGTGGTCATCGAGCAGAATTTCCATTTTAAGCAATATTTTAGGAAATTCATTCCCCCCCCCCCCCCCCCCCCCAATAAAATGCTTCATAAATACCCGCTGTGTTGTGGTGTAATTTTTTTTCTTAGATCTAGATCTAGGCATTAGGCGCTCTCTATGTGGAGTCAAGCAAACACCTACTAGGCTGCGCCTGTCAGCGTCGATCTTCAGCCGCTTAAGTTTCGGCGTTCTCTCTGTTTTCGCCCTAAGATCAGGGGTGTGGCTGAAAGGCAGCAGTAAGAAGAGCCAAGGAGTAGCAGTAAAAAGGCAGCAGAAAGAGTCAGGAGCCTAGAGGAGGGGGTAGAAAGAGGAGACAGTGGAGATGAAAGCAGACGACAGAACATGAATAGAGAGCAGGAAAAAAGTTTAAGAAGGTGAAAGGAGATTCTTTTAGAGAAGAAAATTTTCCATCGATGTCATCAGGATTCACACCTGGGACCTGTTGAATGAAATTGAGAGGCAAACACTGAACCTCTAGATTACGAGAGCCCCTCAATGAAGAGAGACAAGATTTTTATACGCCATAAAAAAAACCCCCAAATAAAACGGTAGCAAAGTAACGGTGTGGAAAGGAAAATTGGAGTAAATTCATAAAATGATTTTGCAGCCCCGTTCTGGACCAGGAAACTTTGACCACTTTTCTGGGCCTGGTGGTAGCAGACCTGCCACTTCCTAAATCCAAAGTAAATTTCATGAGAAGAAAGTGGACATTTCATTTCATTAATACTCAGAGTGTAAGGGTGGAGAAAACTGATATGGTGAGACCTGACAAGTGTTAAAAAAATGCAGAGGAGCTTAGAAGCTTTTTGCATTAACATCAACAAAATTACTAACTAAAGGCTAAAGGACTTAAAAACAGGGCATTTTATTGCAAGAGTGCTCTAGGAGCGTTAATAACAAAGAAATGCACATACCTACATCAATGGTAAAAGTTATTTTTCATATACTAGGTTTTATTATATGTGAGGCATCGAGGTGAAATCAGGCGCTCATCAACATAATGATAAAATGAAATCGAACCCCCCCCCCGCCATTTTTCTGCTGGTTTTGCAAATGTTATCTTTTTTTGTTGTTTTTTTGGCTCAACACATTTAATGTCTATTTAAACTATTTAAACACATTTCTGGTAGATTTTTACTAAAAATGGTCGAGTTAAGGCACAAAAAATGTAAATTTTCACTTTCCAAAGAATTTCAAGCTATGGAAGTCTCTGAACTTTGGCAGCCATTTTCTCACTAATTTTACCTCTGAAACCGGGTGACCTCCACCTCCTTCAATGGCAAATATCACAACTTCTTTTTCAAGATAGAAAGATATTTAAAAAAATCAGAAGCAAGAATAATGAACAAGCTTTCTGATGATACCAACAACTCCACAAGCCTAAAAATTGACAACCGTGCGATTCCACAGCATAGTGGCACATATGTGTCATGACACAGAGGAACCAAGCGCTTGTCATTTCTTGGGCATATGGAGTTATTGATATCATCAGCTTGTCCATTTGTTTTGTTTCGATAAAAATAAATGATCTTCTATCTTGAATAGAAGTTGATTTAACTGCCACAGAAGGAGGTGGGGGGGGGGGGGGTCACCTGATGTCAAAAGCAAAACTAGTGAAACAATAGCCATAAAAGTTTGTAACTTCCAAAGCGTGTCGCTTTGGAAACTGCAAATTTATATTTCTTGTGCCTTTGAATACTTTGATCAATATTTCTCAGTAAAATTTACACAGAAATAATGTTCTTATAATAGACATAGAAGGTGAAGAGCAAAAAAAAAAAAAAAAAAAAGATATTGCCCAACTGGCAGACAAAAAGTCGTTTTTGTTCACTTTATTATTTTGAAGAGCGCCTGATTTCTTCAGTATGCCACACATACATGAACACACAAACTCTTTCGCCCACACATCAAAGCTTTTATCATCTTCCTCACTTCTGCTTCTTTCACTCAGCTCTTTCACTAACCAAAACATTAGTAAACACATACAAGTGGGTGTGTCCACTGACAAAATAATCTTGGAAAAGCTGTTATTAACTTTTTCTCTTACTGTTGTGATTGAATGTTCTCTCCACAGTTTTAAGTTTTGACGCAAAGGCTGTTGGCTGCACACGTACAACCTGTGCAGAAAGTTCTTTATCAAACCAACATGTCACGTGAAGAACATCCACAGCAAAGAAATAAAGACTGTCAGAGCAGTGAGTTCTTCTGTACACTGAACGCGGATCTTCCTGCAATATCTCAGAAATAGATTTCCTGGCTTCCTCAGGTCCTGTAATCATCTGAAGACGGAAATTAGGGTCTGCAGACTGTGGGCTGAACAGCTGCATTTGTTGCAGAGCCTCGGTTGTGAAGGAGACAGTCAACTGAGGAATTGGTGGCTTTTTCAACCAAGGGGCAACAACTGTGGAAATATTGTCCTCCTTGCTTTTCACAGAGTCACATCCCTTAGACAACGTTGTAGTGGTTTCGTACTGCCTTGAACATGATTTGGCTTTCCCAGATTTTGACTTAGAGTGTACAGGAGTTGTGTCTTGGGAGCACTTATCTGACTTTTTACTACCACCCTCTGTACTAGGAGTCTCCGTTCCAGAAAGAACCTTTTCACAAGGAGACTGAGAAACAGGACCTGATGCTTCATGCACCGATGCTTGTGGAGAGGGGCAAATGTTGTTAAGATCAAGAGCTGCTTGTGAAATAATATTGCCAATTAAGAGACTGATATCTTCTTCCTCAGCATCCTGTTCCGACTCTCGACCTGCATCCAGACTGGAGTCCAAAGCACACAACGTGTCTGTAACTGATTCACCGACTGAGGTGTCACATCTGGTAGCACCGCTCAGCTTATGCTCTGCTTTCTCTAAAGCAGCTGACATAGAGTAAAACCCTTCAGTGAGAGCACGAACACTTTCAGGTTCAGAGTCTCCCCGGCAGTCTGGTGAAGCTCTTTCACATTTGTCGCTTTGAGTTTGAGACTCACATATCACTTGTCTATTGTCACCAATATGAAAGCTTTGACTGTCTATCTCCTCATTGAAAACACTGCTACTTGAGAGAGATTTCTCAGCATTTACAATACTTTCAGAAGGAGCAAGCGTTGTCTCCAAAACTGTGGGAAGAATAGAATCAACAGTCATGGGTTCTTCAGAACAATCAGGAGGTTCAAATTTGTTTAAACAATTTTCATTTTGTTCTCTCTGTTTCGGTGCATCATACTCTGGGATGTAGGGCTTTATGTCCACAACAGGGGTTCCATCAAGGATGTCGATGCCTGACACATGTACAGAGGATCCTGCAGATCAGAAAAAAGAGAAAGGTTTGGTTTATAGAGAAAAGTCTCGCTCTAACTGTTAACGATTTCATGTTTAAAGTTGTTGAACTGTTCAGCCAAAGTGGAAAGAAATGGAGGTAGAGTGTAGAGACTAGGTTACATCATGTACAAAACCTATCATAATCAGGTGTCAATAGGTCAGTAAACACCATTAAGACTGAAAGGAAGGAGATTCTTCACACAAAAGAGAGTGCATGACAATGTAAAACAATGGCAATTGATGTCCTGACACTTAAAATCTTTAATCAAGAGTACTACTGTACAAACATTGATAATATAGCTGCTTTGGAATGGCATATTATGAGAAAGGTCAAAGTGTACATTTTAATTTTGGCATAAAAAACAAAAAAAAAACAAAAACAACAGTTTTGATACAACAGCAGTCTGGAATTATAAACTTTTGTGTTGACCCTGGGGAAGTCAGTTGACACAAAAGACAAACACCAGAATTTAAAGAACTTTTAAGATGCTTGTAAAGAACAAACTTTGTCTGGACAAACACATCATCATCTTGTCTTGACATCTGTGTCTGTTCATCCAACCATGTCCATACATCCAAAGAAAGTGGAGGAATAATCTTCCTCCGCTGGTGTTTCGCTGATGGTAATCTGATCATTGATGGTGGTGTTGATACTTATATTGTATCTTGGTCTTGTCTGAATGTACTTTAACTCCTTATATCTCTGGCAAGCCGCTCCCAGCAGCTTGTGGTCTAAACTGTAGTGCCGGTGAGACACTGGCACCAACTCGGCCACATTCCTTTATGATCACTTTGATGTCAAATTACTCTTTAAGCAGGAGTTCATTCATTAGATGGAGAACTATCAAAATAAGAAAGCTTGTTTTGATTTTATGATTTAATGACCAATTAAGTGGTGTATACGTCACATAGATAGATTTTGTATCAAAAGAGAGCCCTGGCACAGTGGGTTTACCCCCCTCGGAGATAAAGAGTTAGGGTCGGTCAACTGTGAGATATTTACAAGATCTCTCCTGTTCTCCTTCATCTGCTGCAGACTGTGTGAAAGTAAAGCAAGATCATCATCTGCAAAGTCAAAGGCTTCAAGATGGGTTCATAATGTTAATTCGATTCCTGTCTTTTTGGCTTCTGTGGTCGTCTACATGATTCAAACTATAATAAGAAGAAACAAGCAAGGCAACAGCATACATCCCTGTCTCACTCCTGTGTGTAACTGAAACTGTTGTTCAACTGTCTTCAGTGGATGACTCCGCAGTTTTTCTATCCTTGTATATATATGTAGTATTCTGGATAAATCCTACTAATTTTTCTCGGACTGCATAATGTCTGAGAATTTTCCATAACAGGTGTCACGATAGATGCTGCCAAATGCTTTCTCATAGTCCACAAAGTTGATTAGAAGTGATGAGTTCCATTCCAGTGAATGTTCGGCTATGATCCTATGAGTCGTAATCTGGGCTACATAAGATCTGCTCTTTCTCCATCCTGCTTGGTTGTCTCCTAGATGTAGAAGTGAGCTGCCACAAAAAATATGTCATGCTAGAATTTAAAAAATATTTTTAAATGTTTACAACAACAACCTTCGTCTGTCCAGACATACCATTTAGGACATTTCAGTAATACAGACAAAGACTAAACTTATTACTATCAATGTTGTCTATGCTGCTCTAATTCATATAATTTAAAACATCATTTCAAAATCTAGTGAAAGAAAGACTAACCTTCAACTTTTTCAATCTTGACAAGTGATAGTCCAACATTATTGGGTCTATATGGAGATCTGGATGCAAATACACCTACTCTGCGCCCATTCAGTCTAGGCGGCTTCACTTTAGCCTTCGAGTGAGGATTGTTGTTTTTGTGAAAGATAAATAATATCCTGGAAAGAAAGAAAACAAGCAGCTATAACAATGTATAAATTGACATGAATCATAAAAGATAATGGGTATAGTATTGTTCTTCCATTAGACAAAAATAAATATTCGGTATAATTTCAGCTATACAGACTAAAACCGATGCTTCTATCATAAACAGTATCTCCTATAAATGTACAAATCTGGCCACAAATTTACAAAAATAATTTTTAAAATTGCTGATGTAAGGGATTCTCTAAGGACAGAATATAAGGAATTCCAAATAATTTTCTCTTGCCTGCATCGTCAAAGTACAAATCTTGCTCTTTAGACATCCTTTAATATAACCATAGATTTGAAATCAAACACAAAAGATACTGGTGCACTGGTTACCAGTGTTTAAGAAATTTCCAAAATAAATAACTCCCAGTGAGTGGTTGGCGGGTGCTATGGTGTGGTCTGCTCCTTCTTTCCTATCAAACATCTATTGTTCCTATCAATTCTCCTTCTTTTTTGTGTTTGCTACTCTCTTGTAATACCTCTAATCTATGGCACTCATAAGGCCTTATTGTGTTGTAAAGTGTCGTATAACGCTTACTAAAACAAAAATTAACTCCCCATGTATCTGTATGCATTATAATTCTTTTAGAACCCCTTCTATATACAACAAGCAGAAATGATGTGCAATTCAATACCACAGGAGAAAGTAGTCAAAAGAAAATGCGTAAGCTTCAGAATTAATTGTAAAGATTGTAAAGATTAAAGGTAACCAAATGGAGAGGTTCATGTGAATGATGCAAAATATAATACTCATGATTAGTGGTATGGTGTAGCTGAAAAAAAAATCTCCAGCAAGGCTGATATTGGGGTAAGATGCTGGGTCGCTGCATTTAGGCAATAGTGTGACTGGGTGGATTCAAATGTGTTCTCAAATCAAACAATAGTTTTACCAGAATAATACATCATCACTCAAATACAAAGTTAAGAGTGATGAATTTATAAAACATGTCCTTTTTTTGAAAGGTCTCAATTCCACCATTCAGCATCCTAAGCTAGCAATGCAACAGTCACCCCAAAAAATAGTCCTCCCTTAAATGTAGTGTACAAAATTTGTCAATTAAACTTGTTTTGCATTTAAGTGATTCCTATGTACCCATTGGGCCAAACACACAAAATCTGGTGATTGTTTCATTTCTTCAATTTACGAACAGTAAAAAGACACATATGAACTGATAATACAAACTTATATTTGTGCAAGTCATGATCTTATCACATGGAATTCAAACCCTTGAATGAAATTCATTTTCAAAGAGACTTACCAAGCATGAGAATATTCCTCAAGGCCTTCTAGAGAGTGCTCTGGATTTGTAAAGACACTTTTCTCAATAACGAGGATCCCACGAGCAGATTCACATAGAGAAGATTGCCGAGGAGTCCCATTCTTATAGTGAAAAAGAGACTTCATGTACCCAATAGGCTTCATGGTGCAGTTCATGATTGTCAGATCTGAAAATGATTTATAAAAAATGTTTTAAGACAATGTATGCTCACGAACAGAAAGCTTTATCATGCTGCTAGTGAAAGCAGGCAAGAAAATTTGCCAAGTCCAGAAGCAAAGGAGACAAGAAAACATAACTATTACAAAGCAGAAACGGCACCCTCTTGCTCTTTCTGCTCCTGAAGACATCAGTGACACAAATCAGTGGAAGTAAATCGATGAAAGGAAATACATATATCACTATCTTACTTCTTATATTATTTGATCATACACAAGAAGACAAATCTTTCACGGGGGGTCACCTCAAATAACCTTCTAAAAATAATAATAAACACACTAACCAAATGTCATAGGAGCATGAAAAAGCTCTTTCATTTGAATGACAGCATATGATTGCTGCAACTGAAATTATCCCCCACCTGAACAAATATTAACTTCAGCCAACTTTTGATTCACAGATAAAAGTCAAGAGAATGTCCCCCACTTGACCAAGTGTGCATATATCGAGGGGCTACCAATCTCCATACGCAACATTTTAGGTCACTGTTATCCCTCCCTCGTTAGTTATAGAGGGTTATTTCTCACGATACTGGGCAAAATGTTTTTTATTCAAACTATTTTATAATAAAAGCCTAATTGTGTAGTAATTTTCCCCACTCTAGACCAATCAGTGGGGTTTCCAGGGAGGGGGGGGAGGTGTCATGCCCCCTCTGAGATAATACAAAAAAAAAGAAAAAACTGAGGCGGGTTCAGAGGGGGAGTGCCTCCCCCGCCACACCCTAGTTTTCTCCCCATTATAAATTCATTGACTCAGGACAATTTCAGTGGCCTCTGAGGCAAAAATGACAGCCATTTAAGTTACACCCCAAAAAGCAAAGGTCTGTGTGTGGGCGCTAATATAAAAAAATTACAAGTGGCTATTCTCTGGCGTTGCGCCGGTCAATATATTGAAGGCTATTCTCCGGCATCATGTATATTTTGCAACATGCTGCTTCTCCACAGCTTTCCATCTCCCCTATCGGTACGTTATGACCTAACACAAACACTCATTAGGGTCAGCATTTCTTCAGAAAGCAATTAATCACAGGTGGACACGCAGCCACTACTCAATGAAAGCTCCAGTGACGGAAGAAGGTGAAATTTCTGTGTCAGAGGTGACAGCACCAGAAGCACCGGAAGTACAAGTTCACGCATCCGGCACTGAGCTCAGCTCTAACAATAATGGTCATAACGTGCCGACAGGGGAGATGGAAATCTGTGGAGAAATGACATGTGCAACTATACGTGACGCTGGAGAAGAGCCACTTGCTAAAACATTTAGCAGCAGCCCTTGTTCCTATTTAGGATTCTTGTACAGGGCATTCGTCGGTCTCTCTCACACTGCGCGGTCTCAGGTGAGCCTTGCGATGTAAGTGAAAATGAAGAATAGTACGGTTCGTCATTCTCCCTTACACTCGTGAAGGTTATGGGCGTAAGCGATGGTCAATTGTGACGCTTTATCGACAGAGATGACAGTGTACAGGTTACTACAAATGAAAATAAGACGTAAAAAGTTAGGTGTTTGTTATATCCGAACTGTAACTCGGTAAACATTCTTTGTTTCCCTCCCTCCCTTGGTTAAATACTACACAGTCAATGAACAAATCAGATCATGTGTTAACTATGCACACATTTTCAACAGCTTGATTTGTCTCATTTGGAATCAAAGTTTGGTCTCCAAGATATTTCTTTATTGTATTCTCTTTCAAAGCGAGTTTTACTTTTATTTTCGCTAAATTGCAAAATTCCCCATGCACGACCAAAGGGATCAATAATTTAAAGTCACAATGTCAATAATATGATAAGATCATTGCAAAGTCAAACTTTCCCGTAAAAAATGTAGCAATCTGACAAGACTGTATAACAAACGCTCTTAAGAGAGGTAATGCGATGCTTTGTACAGCATCAGCCGTGTATTTAATAAAGGATTCAGTTGACGGGAAAACATACCACTAATTAGAGATCGACAAGGACAGTTTGAATCCACAACACATACTTGATCGTAACATCCATCAAGTCATAAAAAAATTGTAAAGCATGATTAAGTGTCACCACAATGCGTCCACTTTTAAAGTTGGAAAAAAACATTTACTCTCATTACGCAGTGTCATTAATTGCTTGGTAGAAATTCTAAATGATGTCGACCAGTGACACATGCTAGACAAATTGCAGCACTATAATCATCATTGGGATTTGGGATGTAAAATGACTGGACAGCAAACTAATATGATGTCAGATGCAGAATTAAACACTGTACTCTATAAAATAAGAAAAAAAAATTAAAAATTAAAATTTTGACCATTTGACGTTTTCCCTTATGACGGCAGAACTGCAGCCTGTCAGCCATGCTCTACTGATAGGTTACAAGGTTTTCGGTATAATGTAAATAGTACATTTAGGAATTCTGGTAGTGATGCTTGAAATTGAAACACGGTAAACGCAAAGACAATAATCAATAAAGCGTGTGCAAATTGGCGTATGACGCCGGAAAAGTTTAGCGGAGGAAAAGGCGGTAGCGGAAATCCGCTAAATAGCGGAATATTGAGACCCATGTCTATCAAAGAATGCTCAAAGTAGAAAACTACCCTCTAACCCCCTCACCTCTTTGTGCACTCATTCCGAACTCAAAAACCAAATAAACACCGCCTTCAAAGCATGCCTTTGACCTCTTGTTACTACTGCTACGTAACTCACTACAATTCAAAAACTGCGATAGAACGGGGCAACACAGAAAGAGATTTATAATCTTCCCAGATATATCACTCACAGCCTTAACCCTGAAGCATCAGGGGGCATCAGTGTCGCAGTGTCTACGTCAAATTTGTCTGTATACAGCTACTGCAACAACGGCTATAATTTAGCCGCCACTGTAACACTAACAGATGTTTTGATATTGAGGAATGAGAAGTGAGAAGGAGAAATGAAAGAAGACAGAAGAGGCACAACCACAAAAAAACCGGAAACAATGTGTGGGCTGGGCCTTGCAGTTGCCAGGTAGAGTCAACTGCTAATCGTATTTAAATAGGAAAAAATAGCGATTACGTTTGTTTAAGTTGGAAAAGTTTAACAAATTTTGTTTTTACCTTGTTTTTTATACTAGATTTAAAGGCATCAAATATTTCTGATATTTAATTTCACATGTTTGTAAATTATTCAGTTTGTAACATTAGTCTTAGCAATAAATTCGGTGAATGATCAAAACCCTGGATAAAGAAAGCAGTACCGGAAGTACACTGTAGTGTTTGTCCATAGCAACTGCTACGTCTTTGAACGTACATGGTGGGTAAAATTTACTTTTTGACTTAGGCCTACAGTAGTACGGTAGAGGGATTTATGGCAATGTAGATATACCTTCAATACTTTAGCTTGGTCTTATTATTGATTTGATCTCAAATGAAACGCCATCTGTTTCTGTCTAGATCTAGCAACTTGGTTTTAGTTTTACTCTGGGCCTGGGTAGGGAGTTATAATATTTGATATTGGAGTCTTGATAATGATGAGTTTGAGTTCGAGTTCGTGAAGTCTGAACAATGATTAGATTTCTAGATCTAGAGATCTAGATCTAGATCTAGATCTATTATGATATAAAATGAATTTATCTAAAATTAAAAGTAAAAATGATTTTGTAGGCTGTTTGTCAATTTGACTTGATCAACTTGATGTGATACCATATTCTCATTCAGAGTAGATCCTTGCACAGTACTCGTGCAACGGAAGGATATGCCTTATAATTGTAGTACCTACGTCTTAAAAAATGATCAGGTAGATCTAGATCTAGGTAGATTTAGATTATCTCTCATGAAGTAGGCCCGTGTCCAGTTAACGACTGGATGTAACGGCAGAAGCCACTATCCATAAATAAATAGACCTAGGCCTAACTTATTTAGGCCTACACTATAATTAGGCCTACTTATCTTTTTATTATTAGGCTACACATATAATGTATAGCATTTTGGTTCCATTATCAGGGCACACATACTATGGCTATTGATCTGAAATGCTCAATCAATGCTCAATCAATGCTCCCCAGTTTGATTTCAATCGGAAACAGCATTATTTTCTGCTGAGCTAGATCCAGTAGAGGTCTGAATTATTCATCATTACCGAAACAGCTGCTTTGCTGGTGGAATAAAGAGACATCGGGTATGCGGAAAGGGATTGCGGCTATTTTCACCCCAGGTGAGAATAAAAAATATGATCGACCCCTCACCGGCTTCGTGAGACTCACCAGCGTTGGCTATTCTCACCCAGTATGAAACAAGACGCAGGCCTACTTTTTTTTCTCTTTTCTGAATTCTGTCTATCGGTGTGGATGATCAAATGGACAAAAACAAAGAATAAAATGATGTTATAGCACAGAAGTAAACTAATTTGGTTGTCTGCAACGATTCTACAGCTCTTTCACTTTTCGAATTGAGCTGAACTACACCAGTCACCATTTTGTTTTGCCCGGCAATTCTCGCTACTCCTCTTTCTCCACTCTCTCTCTCTCCCTCTCTCTCTTGCACTGCCCGCAGACAAAGTTGCACCCTTTCAACACAAGAGTGCTGGAACGTTTGTTTACACTGCTATCACTGTGAACGCACCCTGGCTGAGAATGGCCAAAAAGGCTCGCCCTCTCACCTGAGCCAATGCACTAAGCCTCAAATGCACCCCGGGTGAAAATAGCCAAAAGGCTCGCTCTCTCATTCTGAGTTAGAGGTCTACAACTTTGCTATTCTCACCCCGTTTGAGAATGTAAGAATAGGACTGTAAGATGGGCTGTAAGATTAGTGGCAGAACTTCGAGGTAGGGGTCAGAGTTAAGGTTTATATATTTTATAGGTTTATGAGTTTTTCCCAAATGTTCCCTCAATGTGTGATTACTACTTGTAGTACAAATTATTTCTATCAAGCCCCGGTTACACGCAACAATAAATTGTATCAGATTTGTCGTATGAGAGAACTGTCCGTTTTATCGAAGTGTGTTGTCAGTTTACACGTTCCAATCTATTCGATGGAGGAGATTCCTCGGCACATAGCCAACATGTCTCTTTGCGAAGACAGCAATTTGCCTGGGAAAGCATAGTGAAGGTTTCGAGCTCTGGACCTAATGAATGAAAGGCGAACAATGTACCTCTAGATCACGAGAGCCCGCCCCCCCGCCCTCCCCTGCACATTTTGATATAGCAGAACAGTGTCTTTAGAAAAAGTTGGCCATACTGTACCGTGTTGTGTGTAGAAAGAGAAGCTTTGACTTGACTGCAGATGTGCAATGCACCAAGTGACCTACTTCACTGTTGGCAATCCACTAAATAATAAAATTGCTAAAATATACCCAATAACACACCAAATCAGGTTCTTCGCGAACAACTTTGCTTATTTTGAGATGTTGATTCCGAATATGAAATCAGTTCTTACCTACGATAATTATTAAAAATTTTTTTAGCCCTGAGTTTAGTTCTGCGCGCTGCATATTTCAAAGTGAATCTACGTCACAGTGCGTCTCCCGCAAATCTGACAGTAATCGCACGAAAAATATCACGCTGCCCTTGATTTCTCAACCAAGTCTCCAAACTGTCGTTCGATCGTCCAAATTTTGTACAATTTTGTATGTTACACCTGACGATTTATCGTTTGATCGCTAGATCGTCCAGTTTTTTTACAATTTATCGTTACATGTAACCTGGCCTTAAGTCATAACGAGACAAAACATGTGTGTAGGCCTACGCAACAATATGTATATTAAGATGAAGCATGTACAGTAAATGTGTTGTCTCACCTAACAGTAATGCATGTTACAAATTCAAACTGACCATAATAGTACTGTACATAATTATGATTACTTATTCATGTTTGTTATCATAATTATTATTCTTTATTTGCCACAGTTGAGATCCTAAAATGAAGGCGGATGTTTGGGGTTTTTGAATGAATGTGGAATGTTCTGACGTAAAAATGTAGACCTTGACGTGTGTGTTCATCATATAATCAGTGGGAGCTACAGACAGAAAGTTGGTGCAGCGCCTTGGGTGAGTCAGAAAATATCAGGTAGCCCATGTTATTCTTTTATAATTTATTTCATAAAATGATCTAGTTCTGTAGAAAAGTCAGAATCTATAGGATTACTTGTTGTATTTTTCATAAAAATTTACTTTTGAATTTCTCCTGTGTTCCATTGTACCAGGTTGTCAGAAAAAGTCTCAAGAAGTACACTTTAAGAAATGCCAATAATTAACCCATTGACCGTTGGATTTAAAGACAATTTCTTTAGGCTAGTTATTTTTCACTTGCTATTGATGGCTTAGTAATTATGATCAGAGACTGTTCTGTGCTTTCCTCTGGACACAATAAAATTTTCTTACTTTCTCAGGATGTGCATCATATGCTACTGCTTTATAAGTTGATGGTAGTTTTATAATGTTAAAGGTGTAGAAAATTGAAATATACTTGTTTTGCACCAACATCTCATTTCATAATGTTTATTAAATCTGTAAACTTGCACTTATCTTATGACATGCAGCAAGGGAGTTTCCAAGAGATCTTTTCTCAGTCAAAAATAAAATTTTATCCATTTCTAGACTTTCCTAATGTGACCACTGATATACCTTGGATGTATTGTTAATTAGGGTACTTTAAATTTGCATTAAAGAACCATTGTTTTTTTACAAAGGTGTACTTTTTGCTTTTATATTAGACTATATATTTCTGTGTCGTTATATTTATTTTTAAAAAATGGAAAGTCTGATTCCATTGTTAGCTTGATTTGATTAATGTTTGAAAGTTTGTCAACACAAAACACAAAAATATGTTCACAATGATCAACAGTTGGCCTACCGAGAACATCCAAACGAGTTATTTTTCCAATGTTTGACTCCTATGACAAGATGCACAATATACCTAGTATCAAAGATTTTGATTATAATTTTGTTTAAATAGATGATTAAAATGTTTGCAGTTCTAACAGCTAGTAGCAGTGGAATTTCTGTAAATCCTTTTAGTGTAGGCCTACTTATATTTCAAAACGCTTGTTTTAGGCATATATGGTCTGTATATATAGAAATGATTTTAAAATTCTCTGATTTTTTCTTCAAATCTGAGAATTATGGGTTTTATTGAATTGAACTCTTTGCTTTTTTATTTCAGGAGTGAAGCTTAAGTCTAAAAATGCCGTCCTCACGAGAGAAGATGACGTCCTCACGAGAGAAGATGACGTACAAAAGCTCCATTCAGGAAGCTAAGGAATTTGGAAAAATGCCAAAATACAAGGCTCCAGTCTACAGCAAGCCAGAGAGAGTAGATGATATGTATCCTCTCAAATGGACTGATTATGACAATGTGAGTTAATCAAATTATCAGAAAGTTTGTATGTGTCGTTGAGAGAGAGAGAGAGAGAGAGAGAGAGAGAGAGAGAGAGAGAGAGAGAGAGAGAGAGAGAGAGAGAGAGAGAGAGAGAGAGAGAGAGAGAGAGAGAGAGAGAGAGAGAGAGAGAGAGAGAGAGAGAGAGAGAGAGAGAGGGGGGGGGGTGGAGAAAAAGAGAGAGAGGGTGTAAAGGAGAAAGGGAGGGAGGTAGAGAAATTATATAATTATATGCATAGTTATATATTTCAAAGTATGTTACAGGTATTCGAAATTGCCTTAATCCGTACTATGATGAGCCTTGTATACAAAAGTACTCTAATATTATTGTTTTTATGTTATGAAAGGGTACTTTTTCATTTTGAAAAAAACCAAACAAGAATACATATTATATTTCTTTTTCAGTTCATCACGTCTGTGACTGTTACTGTTAATTAGATTTCCACAATACTGCAGTGAGCATTTCACTCACTATTGTTTTTTATTATGATTTTTCTGACCAAGACAATCAGAAAACCACCTTGTAAAGTAGACATGTAGCGTGTATTAATTAACTAAGTGCTATGTTGACATTTTTGGGAATCAATTTTATTTCTCACAGGCTGATGTACAGAAGGGTATTGAAAAAGTGTTGGGCCCTCTTTCCTTATTCGCTCCTTTCACTCATGAAGATGGTGAGTCATGTTTTTCTTTCTTTGCATTATGTTGAGATACTTATGTTTCTGCCAGAAAGTAAAACTGGAATGTTTGTAAATATCGATAGCTCATAAATAAGATTTTTTCTGAAGAATTGTTATTAATACTAAAGGCTATGTATATCCTGGCTTTTACTGACCTTCCTGGCCAAAGAGTGGTAGTTACTGGCCTCCTCTGGTACTGCCAGATAATCTACAGGCTTTTACTGGACCAGCATACAGTTTTCTTTGTCATCATGTGGGAAAGATTTAGATGGAAGTGTCGTCTAATGTGCTAAAAGTCTTTCCTTTTTTGCGGACTCTGCCAACTTTAGAGCCATTTTTTGTTGAAATTTAGGCAGTATAATGTGTTGTAAAGCATTACAAACTTTTCATGAACATGTTACGTTTGTAAAATATTCTGTTCAAAAGAGCAACTGCATTATTTCAATGATCTTTAGTTGTGAGAGATAAGAATATGAAATATTACGGAAGTTTTGTAGCTGAATTTTAGAGCTGTTAGAGCAATAGTTTTGCTCTGATAAAGAGTCAATGAAAAGTGTATCTGTTCCAGGTAAAGAATAGAGAGCTGTAGGTTTTCACTCTGCATTGTGTGGCCCCATGTATACATGCTCTCATGCTCCAGTAGTTTTTGCTGCAACAGAAATTATTTTACCAATAACCTTTACATTGAAGTAAGGAACTGAAATGTTCAATGTTGGAAAAGGGTCTATTTGCTGTGTATATCTGATGATCTGGAAAGACTTGATAAGTTGTTTAAGTCTTAGTTTGAGTAAAAAGAAGTGGGCTCTACTTTTTCACAATAATTGACCCTTGTTGCAAGGAGAAAGTAAGAAAGACTGAAAGAAAGATACAACAGGGAAAAGAAAAGAATGGAACTGAATTGTACTACTGGCTTCCTCCAACCACTTGCCTAATGGGCTTTTTATGGGTTAGGATTGTTTATTCGAATAAATTCCTCTAGTCTTTTCTTTTTCATTTAGTAAGAATTATGTTTTTACATTTTAACTAAAAAGTGAAATTTGATTACACACTTCACTAAATTTGTGTTATTTATGTTTTATACTTCAGTTGCAGAGTTTAAGATGAATAGCGCTATTAATTTAATCCCTACAATAATGGAGTAGTAGGGAACAAAATATTTCTTTAATTATTTGGTTTCATGTTATTTTGTATTTCCTGTTTATTTTCAGTGCCTGATAATGTTCCACTACAATTGGAGAGGCCAGTAACACCCATCAATGTAAGGAATGTACTTTTCCAAAATGGATATTTATCTTTTTGTTATTGTTATACTTTTATTAATGTCTGCAAGCGATTGTTCAATTGCAAGATCTGCTTTAGAAATGGGAATGAAATATAAGTGCATTTACGTAGTCTTCTAGGGTAAAAAGAAGTGTCCTGGGGATGATTGAAAAATGTAACTTTCGTTCTTTTTATATCTTCTTTAAATTCTATGTTACAACAAATCACAACCATTCATCGTTATTCTTTATCTATATTGCATCTAATGTTTTATTTTCCAGTGCTACAAAATGGTCGAAACATATAAATTTTTCCTGACAGTGAAAAATCCAGGACGCAAAAATATGCTGTCCACAATCTTTTGATGTTACAATAGCTAAGGTGTAGAAGTTGACAAGCTTATACTTGTTGCTCAATAAATGATAAATGATATAAGGACATGTTCTTTGCTGTGAATTATTTGTGTAGCTTGGCATTGTTAGCAGAGCTGTATTGGTCCCACTTAATATTCCTTGTGAAAATATTCTCATTGTTTTGTGAAAATGTGGGAATTAAGTAATTTTATTTCTGCAAAGTTATTATTTGTGTCATGATGCGAGGGAATCAGGCCCTTGTCAATTTTTGGCCATGTAGATTTATTGGTAACATCTTAAAGGTTGTTTAGTTATCTTGCTTTCGATGAAAACATACTTGTCTATCTTTAATAAAAGTGGAGATATTTGGGATTGGAGGAGGTGAGGTTCGCTCGATTGCAGCAGTGAAATAGCGAGAAAATGGCTGCCAAAGTCTGATGAGGTTTATAACTTGAGAGTTTTTGTTTAAAAAAGGAGCACACCACACCAGAGAACCCACCAACCACATATGTGTTACCCCCCCCAACAATACCAACACCAGAGATTTTGGAGACTGACAATTTTAATTTTTTGTGCCTTTAACTCATTCGCTACGTATTATTTTCGGCTTGTGGACGAATTCTTTTCGGGAGGGCGAAATGAGATGATGACTAGTGCGCAGTTCACAGGTCTTTGGGGCCATAAATTCAAATAAATATCAACATATTATATACCAACATTTTCAGTATGGTTTGTAGAATACACCTGCATTATTTATTTGCGTATTTTTCAACTTTGGTTCCTGTAAGAGGCGATTATGCAACACAATTGTGATTGGATGCGGATAAAATTGGAAAATAAAAAAATTATAATCTCGGGTGAAACTAAAAAAACATGTTTGCACCTAGTCAAATTATACCTCAAAATAACCATAACTGTATATAGAACAGGAAACTATTGAAAAATGTGCAGTTATTTACATACATTCCATAATATTTGTACATTTGGATCATAACATCCGATATTGAAAAAAAAAATGTTTTAAAATAATTTTGAAAAAAGGATCACAAACAGAAAAAAATACGCGTAACTTATATGGAATTATTCAGAATTGCACTTGGAATAAACCTATACATGTCTTGAGTGGCACTTTTTGATTAATTTCACCAAAAAGTAGTGATTTTGGGGAGAAAAAAATATTTTGACTATTTAGATCTAGGCCTAGATCTAGCACTCAAAAATATTGATTTCTCAATTACAGTGCACTGGCAATTTGCGTCCAATAGTATCAATATTATAAAGAAGAGTCCCACACTTCTTTAGTGAGCAAAATAATTATACATTTTGTTGTGTAAAAGTACTAAGAATGGTGTCTGGGCTATAATTTGGGCTTCGCGATAAAACAAAGTTGAATAAACTACGAAATCATGTTTCAAAACTGAATCAAAACTTCCGATTTTCGGTGGAAACGCTTGACCCGGAAGTCAACATTATATTATGACCTTTATTTTAACATGGATAAGTGGATTGGAATAAAAACCAAGCTAAAATTGAACGTCGGTTCTCGAGCCGCCGGGGGCGGCTTAACGTACTGACGGCACTTGAGACGCGCCGCCCCCCACGGCTCGACGTAGCGAATGAGTTAATCAACGTTTTCAGTAAAATCCTGATAGAAATGTGTTTTTATATCTATCTACATAAAAGATGTTAGGCCAAAAATCAAAATTTCTATAAAAATTGCCAAACTGGTGCAAAAATTTCGTTGTCTACATTTCATCACGATGTCTCAAATTTTTATTTTGAACTGTACGTTTTAGCGAAAGAATTGTGGCATTTGTGGTCTTATGCTTAGGCTATGGGTCTTGTTACAAAAAAGTTATCAATTTGAGCCTCGTAAGGAGTCCAACATTGTCCTTGAGACAGGCACTTTACACAAAAATTTCTCTCACTCCGCCCAGGTGGGAATGAGTACCCACCTATAGACAGTGAAGGATCTTATCGGTTTGATAGTGTTTGAGCTCTTAACTAGTTGTTTGCACTATGCTTCCTGGGATGCCGAGAATGTTTTGGAGTGTTCTAGGATCTGTTTGGGTAATGATATTTGTAAAGTGCACAGAGTGTGCTTTAGAGAGTGTGGATATACACCAGATGAATTTTATTATTTTCTACTCTCCTCCTTTTCTGCTCTACAAACAGGGCTCTCTGCATTTTAATGAGCTATCTTTGGGAAGTCTGGTCTTGATCAATAACAAGTGTAGTGTGTGAATGACAAAACTGTCAGAGCAGTTGTTAAATAGCAACACAAACTTTAAATCTTTAAGATACAATGTTAACACCAAAAAATCTGTTCATTTTTCAGGAAGAAATTCGAACCCAGCCGTCAACTTTCGAGCGGATGGCACGGTTTGTTCGACGCAGAATAATGGCTCATACTGATGTGCCTTACCTTTCCGTCGATGATCAGAAAAATCTTGTATGTAATTGTTTAAATTTTGTTCCCATCCTGTACTGAGGCTTATGTAGTTTATTTAGTATGTTTTCTTATATTGAAGACTTTTGTTTGAAGTGAAAATAAAAATGACACATCTTTTTAAAACTGATTTGTATGTTTGAGTATATTGTACAGCAATATGTCAGAGGATTCATTGCAGAGAAAAGTACTATATATTCTGGCGTTTTTACGAATGCAAAACCTGAGAATACTTCATTGTTTGGTGATAATGTTGAAATTAATTTTAAGTGTGCAGGTAACTTTATCCCTGCAAATATTTTATTTTTAGTTTGAACGATACAGTTTAGACAGTAAAAAGAATTAAATGATTTGCTATTTTTCATATTCTGTTTGTACTTTTATTTCTTAGGCAGCTATAATTTTGGGTGAGGTGAATGGCATATGGCCTGACATAAGGCGACAGATTGATGATCCATTTCTGGTAAGTTTTTGTCCTATTTAGTTTTGTTATTTTTCAGTCGGGCCAGGGTTTATTTGTGGTGTAGCGGGCAGGAATCAGGTGCTCGTCAATTTTTTGTCATATTGAGTTATTGGTATAATCAGCGTGTTCATTTGCCTTGATGTTGGTGTAAAAAATACCTTTCTATCTTGAATAGAAGTCGACATTGAAGGAGGTTGGGCTCGCCTGGTATCAGAGGTGAAATTAGCTAGAAATTAAAATGGCTGCAAAAGTTTAATGATGACTTACAAAGCTGTAGTGTCCTTGGAAACTAGATCTACAAAGTACAATTTTGTGCCTTTAACCAACCTTTTTTCAGTAAAATGTGCACAGAAATGTGTTATTGAAGTGTTATAAAAGTCTTGAGCCGAAAACAGGAAATTCGAAAAAAAACTGTTCAACTGCCACAAAAAAGTCAATTTTATTGATTTCATTATTTTGACGAGCACTTGATTTCACCAAGATGCCATACATTTTTTTTTCACATGAGAATAATGACTATTGCTGAATATACGACAATGAGTGGTGTAACATGAACATTTACCCATACCCTCAAACATTAATTTTATTAAAGAAGTACAATAAAATATTTAAAACAAATATAGCTGCTGTGATATAGAATGTTTAAACTATATCTCTCTTCATCTATGACAGACTCCAGAGGAGAATAAAGAGCTGAACCGTCGTATCGCAGTTCACATTGTGACAGTGTGTGAGCAACTGTTCAAGCATTATTTAGACAAAGCTCAAGGTGAGTTATGGTTATACAGCGGTTAGTGGAATACTACTAATAATAATAGATAAAATTTGTATAGTGCGAATTCCCGCTCAAAAGCAAGCTCTATGCACTTTACCATCTATACTATTACCCTATCAGACTTGATAGCATTCTGAAACAAGCTTAACTTCCTGGGAAGCACACAATGCAAGCTGCCATTTATAGGCACTAAAACACAAACATGCTGACAAGATCTTTTGCTGTGTATGGCTGTGTACCCATTCCCACCTGAGTGAAGTGAGGAAAATTCGTGTAAAGTGCCTTTCTCAAGGACACAACTTCGGCCCAGAGGCTCCAACCCCTGAACCCACAACCTCATGACTTCAAGTCTGGCTGTCTAACCACTAGACTACCAACGTCATATTAATTTACAATTCGTATTGACTCAATTTCAAATTTTAAGAGGTTGTTCTTTATCATCAGGCTAGCCCACACCCTTACTTGCAATTTTTGATAATGTGAGTTACTCAGCTGTGGATTTTTTTACTCTTCCAAATTTTCTGTCATGTTAATTAAGTTTTGTTTTTTGAACTTTTTTTCAGTTCTCAACAGCCGGGGTGTGTTCAGCGGTCCTGCAAACATGAGTAGACTCAAAGCTCAACTGGCTTTGGAGGCAAATGAATTGTGAGTCTTACATAAAGAAGTTAGGGATGTAGACATGTGTCATGACGTGGTGGAATCAAGCACTCGTCAATTTTTTAGGCAAATGGACTTACTAATATAGTTTTAAAATTTGTTCTTTTGTTTTGTTTCTGATGAAAATAATACTCATCTGTCTAGTATAGAAGTCCGGTTATTTGCGTTTGAAGTCTGGTAATAGAAATAAAATTAGTGAGAAAATGGCTGTCAAAGTTTGGCGACTTCCAAAGCTTTAGAGTCCTATGAAACTGCGCATTTGCATTTTTTGTGTTTTTGAACCGCGCTTTTCCACAAAATTCCCACTTACTTTTATTTTAAATGAACATAAAAAGGTGTTGAGCCCAAAAAAGAAAAAAATGTTAAAAATTACCGAATGCGCTGAAAAAATCTGTTTTCTTCAATTTAACTATTTTGACGAACAGCTGGTTTCACCACAATACCTCACATATGTAACGTTCAAAATTGCGTTTTTGTTATTAAGGTGTATACTTCCTTTGAATTTATTTAAGTTTGCTTTAAGTCTGCGTATCAGCCAGTTTTTAGACTGTTCTTCTATGTTGTCCTTGTTTTAAAAAAGATAGAATATCTTGTCTTATTCTGAGTAGTTTTTGCCCTCCCTGCTCCTTTGTCAGAGTTTTCCTTTCACTACACCAAATGTATGTAACTTTATCCCATCTCTCCATCATATTTGAAGTCTTCGCCTTTTTTAACACCAAATGTATGTGCTAAATACCACCTCTGCATTATTCTTAATGTAAGAAAATAATTGAGAGGTCTTTTTCTACTTTAATGACTGCTGCCTTTTCCACAGGTTGGACGTGTTAAAGATTCGGCGTTACATTGTGCACGACATGCGGTCTGCTGGGGATGCAGAGGGGGAGGAGGCAGAAATGTCACAAAAGTCCCCAAGGCATGCGAGATCATCTTCTGCAAAAAAGCTCACATATCAAGCCATGGTAAAGACTTGTTCCAGAAATGTGATCTGACTTTTTCCTGTGCTCTGATTAGGAATGTTGGGGGGAAAAAAAAAGAAAAGACTGATTTTTTTTGCTGCATGAAAATATGTGTATTATAGCATTCATGAGATAATAGTTGATCTTTGGGTTCTTATTCCATTTGGAAGGATGATATGTTTCCCGTTTTATAGAAATAGAGAGCAAAAGATGTCTCTTTGACTAGACATACAATACCTGATGCAGTGTACATTTTCTCTAATTTTATATATGAAGGGCATATTTAGCTGCCAAGATTTGCATATATATATCAAGGAAGGCATTTTTTAAAAAATGTATAAAAGGGTGAGGGACTAAATTAGACTGGAAGTGTTCTGTTTCGTTCTGTGCAGCACTTATGAGAATGATAGATCATGTTCATACCTTAACCCGATGTTCTGACTGCTCACAAGAGCGTTAGTAACTTTACGTTTTATGCACTGAACACACCCCTGGGCAAACAGTGGTGTACATCTAGCAGTCAACAGAAAGATGCACACAGTCGTAAAGTTTTCTCTGAAAGAGTACTCAAATCATTTACATCTGTAAGTTTATAGTAAGTGACAAACATATGTATAAGTATACACAAACTCTTTCCTCTCCACCTCTCTCTTTCTATGAAAAAAATTTTCCATCTTTCTATGTTTCTATGTCCGCCACTTTTTCACCGAGACTCTGACTCTCTCTTGAACTCATACTTATTTCACTTTTGTTTCTGCTAATTTCAACAAATCCATGCTAATAAAACTCACCCCCATCCCGTGACAAAGTAATTCCAAAGTTCACAAATTGATTATAATATGTGAAAATGAATAATTCAAAAGCAAATTTTGTCTGTTCACAGCTAGAAGCAAGCCGTCCAAAACCAAAGCAGCTGAGAAGCAAACTAAACACTATTGACCAGGATATCAAAGAGGTCAGAGCAAAGAATTTGAAATTGAAACTTATTTTCGTTTTACAAGTAAAGGTATCTTTATTTTCAACATTTATGACCACACAATAAGATTAAAGATAAATGTTCAGCCTAACTTTCATTTTGAGAACCTCTATAATTATAATCTGCAAATTTCAGGTCTTATTTTTCAACTGGAGTGCTTTCATGATTTATATCATGGACTGTTATAAATTGAATTTGTTGATAAGGGAAGACTAGTTTGAAGCTTTAATGTCTTTATCATTTTTTGTTTAATATTTTTATAATGAATGGGGGAAAAAATTCATTCTATGTATCTCTTTTTGCTCATCACTGCATTGATTGATCGAGGTCCGAGCATTATGTGCTGTGTCTTTGGTACTAAGGAACTAATATTTTTATGAAGTTCTGTAGTGTAATTATTTTTCCAAGGTGCTGCTTTTCTTTGCTTGTCACATTTTGAGCTTTTTTTTGTGCAAGCAAGTAGAAAGGTGTTGTCTTTGAAGTTCATATTGCCGGTTCCTTATAAATTTTGCTGTTTAGTTGTTTTTTTTCTGGTATTTTACTTTAGTAGATCATAAGATAAATGTTCATATTGTAATTGTTTAGGGGTTTGTTTTCTACTACGCAGATTCAAGAGCAGATACCAGTATTAGATACAAGCCACTTATTGGATTTTGTGGCAGAGTTGCCTGAGAGGGATATTCGCACTCCGAGTGAGGAAGGTAAGAATATATAACTTTCTGTTAACTTCCTAAAAGATGTTTTTTTTATAAGATCTATTAGTGTAGTTTAGGGTCACAGGGAAGAGGAGGAGGAGAAAGATGAAGAGGATAAGATTGAGAAAAAAGGAGAAAAAAGATGAATAGATCAGTTTCCTGACTGATACCCTGAAATATGCTTTGTCCATATTATGAATTTTTTTTTTTTCAGAAGAGAAATAGGATGCGATTCCAAAATTGTGTGTTATCCTTTTTTCAGAATTCCATGCCAGACCTAGTCGAATATCTGAAGGGGTTTCTCGTATGTCTGGGTAAGTTCTGTCTTAGGTTACTTGTTTGATTTATAGTTTGTTTTTTAAATTTTACTTTCACAATTTTTAAAAAAGACTTTGTAATCAAAATTTTTTACCGCATCACTGAGACATACTTTTCATCTTGAATTTTAAACTTATCGTTTCTCAACGGATTCTCTTTATTCTTAGTAGAATGCACTGTATGTGTTTCAATTATTGGAAAACGTCACCCACCTTCACTTAGGAAAGGCAAGTCATATTTTTCAATTTTTTTTGACTGTTCACATTTTATGTGTGCTGTTATCACAAGTTTTTATTTTGAATTTCTGTTTGATATGTTTTCTCTCAGAATATCGAAAGAAGATGTGTCAAAAAGGAAAATAATATATAAGGTAAGCTGTCATATTCCCAACACACTCCAGTAAATTCACATTGTGGTTTTATGATTCAGGTAGTAACACTGGCCTCAGGTGGCATATCAGGCCTGCCTTTTTAATCCTGTCTTTCTTACACCTTACGCTCTAGTCTTGTCCTTCAGAGCTAACAAAGCTCATCTTAACTTAAATGGAACTAAATTTCAGTGACCACTGTCAACTAATCAGAGAACAAAGTATAATGTTGAGTCATGTGGCCTACTTGAGACTGCATGCACTGTGGTAGATTGCATTTTTATTTTAGCCTTGTAGTGTGTCTTATGTTGTGAATATTATTTTTTAATGTTTTTG